GTGTTTAAATATAATGGCTCCTTAATAATCCATACAGCAGGTCTTGGAGTAATGTTGTTTATTCAACATGGCTTCATCATAATGTTGATGAGGGGGAAAAGTTAATTCCTGGCCAGGGCTAATGTCTGCATAGAGTTTGCACATTCTCTATGTCTTCATAGATTTCTTCCCACACCCAAAAGATGAGCACTTGAGGTGAGCTGGCGTGTCTAAATGGTCCCAGTCTGAGTGAATGTTGTGGGTGTGAGTGCACCCTGTGATAGATGGGTGTCCTGTCCAGAGTGGGCTGCTGTCTTGTGCCCTAAGCTGCTGGGATTGGCTCTGGTCACCCAGAACTGGCATAAGTTGGTTGGAAAATCATTGTCTTACTTGTTTTATTAATCTTTCTTAAATGTACGTATAGTTTACATTTATTTCAATGTTTAATAATTAGAAGTGTTTTAGGTCTTTATTTAGAGGTTTGGTAATGTTTTTGTGACCACAAGTATGCCACAGGAAGTTAACACATTTTTATCAATTAGCCTATGGTGAAAGCAATTTTGTTATAGGATCTACTGATGATGATAAGTGAGGACTTCCTGTAAAATGACACAAAGAAGTTGTGGCTGATTAGAATATACAGTATATAGGAAAGAGTTAGGTATATTTAAAAAAATGGATCTAGAAATCTCCTTTTTTAAGGACCTAAATTGGATTTACAAGATTCAAAGACAAGCAAGTATCAACTTCTGTGCCATTAAGATATGGAAAATGAATCTTGTGATAATACAGTAGTAATTCTGGGCCTATTCCAAGTTTTCAAAACCTGTCACAATACACATTCTTCACTAATCAACCAATTTGAAGTGCAACTTAGAAGAAAGGAAGGTCTCAGAAAAAGGACATAGACAACAGTGTGGTGATTGCAGTGGGGAGGGGGTTATAAGGGGACTAAATGGTAATTGAAAAAACTACAATTAAAAAAATTTTAAAAAAAGGAAAAGGAAAGGAGAGTGATTTGGAAGTTAAAATTATTTCAGGAATCCTGTCTTGCGTGAATGGTGATCTGGGGTTGGAGCTGTGATGCTTTTTGTGAACCTTACCTGAATAAACATTAGTTATAGTTTGACATCTGAGGTTAGTCCAACATTGGAGAGAATTAGGGTTACCTTTCACTTATATAGTAATATCTGCATGGACCTGCATGCCCCACATTTTTCCCTGACTGTGGAGAAAAATGGATGGCAACTCTAAGGAAGAGACACGAGCTATCAAGGCTTGTTGTTGGGTGAGCCCAGTGGTGCTGGAATGAAGGCAAGGCACTCAATAGCCCGGGTCTTATGACTCTGGAGATAGATGGCGGTGCTGAGGTCACTTGGCCTGTGTGTTATTAGACAGGGACCGGCCTGGAGTGGGGTCTGCCACAGGCCTGACTGTAGTGTGTGGGTTCTTGACAGCATGTAGGAAAGATTTCATAAGTCCAGGTGATTGTAAGAGTATGTTTGTTAAAGCTGGGGACAGTGATACAAATGAAGGACTTAGAGTAGAGGAAGTAACAGGAGAGAGCCTAGGCAGTGCTCTGCTTTGGCTCCCTAGAAAAGTTATAGGAAAGGAGTGAGCCAAGGAGGGGCTGCTTTAAGCTGACAGGGAAGTCAGAACAAGGGGGCCTTGGAGACAGGGTCAGGCGGTAAGCCCCGATGCCCAGGAAAGGGGCACGGGCGTGCTCTAGAGCAAGCCTGTTCTGGGTCTTTGTCCTGAGGGCTTGTAATCTTTACTTCTGTGGTTGGGGATCTTAGAGGAGGGTTTCAGAGAAATATTCATCAGCTTTCCAGGTACATTTTTAATATGCTGATGTGTCAAAATGAGTGCTTAGTAGGGTTTGGGAATAATTTTTACTCTGCTATACTGTTTTACTTTTATCTTGGGTCTGTCTGCTTTTAAAGGGTTTTTTGTTATTTGTTCCCCTGACTTCATCTGTCCTTGGGTTTAGCTGGCACAAATGATATTAATTGGGTCTCTGTTCTCTATTTCCCAGACCAGGGTGATTTAAGCTATGTATTTGTTGGTTAGGGAGGAGAGGTATAAACCATTTGCTCTCAAGGTTTTGCAAACCTTACCTGAATAAACGCTAGATATACTTTGACATCTAAGCTTGTGCTTTACCAGCTGGCTGTAAGTTGCTCAAACTGTTTGGCCTTATTCAATTTTCTTGTCTCAGTTTCCCTATACTACTTGCCCAGGAATTTTCCTAGCTTCTTACTATCTTGTCACATGTGGACTCCTGCTGTGTGCAGGGATTTCTGCAGCTCTGAGGATCTTCTTTAGAGATAGCTGCAGGGAATACAGAGTGGGACTCTGGGCACTCAACACTTCCACAGTCAGGGAGGGCCCATATGATTAATATATTTGGGTCCTGCACATGACTTAATATGAAAAAAAGACTTCACTGTATAGCACAACAATGCTTACAAACCACTGTAGTCAGGGCTCCCTTTCTCCCTGCCCCTATTCCAGTAGTATTGCAGAATTAAGAGAAGAAATAGCGAAGGATGGATGCTCATCAGCTAGTCTCATGCATGGATGCATTTTTTTCAACAAATATTTGAGAAGCTCCTGTTAAGTACCAGTTAAAATGTTTTGCCAGTATTTCAGAGTGGCTAGAATGAGGCACATGGAGACTTGAAAATGGATACCAATTTTCTTGTCAGTTGGAGTGAAATGATTTGGTAACAGTTTGCAAATAATAACTTTTTTCTTTTTTAATAACTTTTTAATAGGCTCAACATGTATTCCAAATAGAATGATCAAGAAATGATAAGCTTTCCCTTTCCACCCACATTACAGAACTAGATATGGGCATTAACCATTGTGACTTTATTTCCAAAGATATTCACTGTGTTCCAAAAATTGTTGGGGGAATAACTGCAAGGAGAGATAAAGGCTGGTACAGTGGGTACAGTGGGTTCAAAAGAAGCAGGAGAAAAATACACCCACTGCTTGGAACTCTGTTCTTTGACTGTTAAAGAGAGGGCAGTGGGATCTGTAGCCAGGCCTAGAATAGGAGCAGAGGGGGCTCTGGGGCTCATAGTGTAAGTGACCATGGTCTAATATGCTACAGAACATTCTGGTATATTACAGCATTCTGAGGCTTGTATCCTCATTGCCAAGATCTCAAGGTGGAGGAGAAATTCTGATGCCTCCTGTTTTAGAAAGCTGACGGAAATTCCTGGCTTCTGAGCAGTCTTTCCCTTAGTCACTGAATGCTGACCAAGAGGGAAATCAATTTTCCCTTTATTCCCTTCTGAAGTGGTCTCTTTCTTTACTTGGAATGTTGGAACTCAGGTGGTCAGCTGATCCAGGTTTACCCAGGACTTCCCTGGTTTTAGCACTGAAAGTCTCATCCTGGAAACCTCTTCATTTCTAGGCAAACTGGAATAAATAGTCATTCTAAGGAAATAAGAGCCAGGTGAATAGACTGGCAACACAAAAGTTAGTGGCTTAAAACAACTATCATTTTATTTGTTCTCCATACTGTGCTCTCAGCTTGGATCAGCTGGGATGCAGGGACATCTGGGCCATGTTTCCTGTGCAAATAACCTTTCCATGTGCCTTCCTAAGGGACCTTTTACAGCGGGGACGCTGAACTTCCACATGGATGTACAGGGCTCCTCAGAGTGCAAAACCTGGTTGCTTTCTTAGGGTTCGGCCTGGAACTGGCACAGTGTAACTCTGCCATATTTTATTGGTAAAAGCCAGTCATAGTGCCATTCTAGAATCAAGGCTGGGGACTACACAAGGAGTGAATTACCAGGACAGTTCACAGAGGTCTACCAATGTAACAGACTACTCCAGAGGTGCAGACGCTCACATAGACTCCCTGGTGCTTGATTCACTCTAACCTGTTTGCTGGGCATCTTCCTTATCTCCTCACACTCTCAGAGAAAACTGAATATGAATAGATTGACTATTGATCAAAAACTTCAAGAGCTCTAAGTGGGTGTAGGACAAGTTTATCCCCATTACACTTACTACTGTTAAGCATACATAGGATGGTGCATCCCTATTAGGTTTTCAGAAGGGTTGCAAGGAGCAACAGGTTAGGAGGCCTGGGTCTTACAACGTTGATGTGAGGTAATAAATGACCTGACTCAACACTCCTTGGGGAGTGAGTGCCAATACGAGGGTCTCTGCTCAGGGCCAGAATTACAGAGATCACCAAAGCACAGCACTGGCTCAAGGTAGCTGACTCCTCTCAACCTGGAACCTTCCCACCCATGCCCCAGGTCTTGTCTTAAGGTTAAACCAGTGTCAGCGCAAATCCTTCCCTCCTTTCCTCTGGACCTGCCTCCCTCCTGCAGCTCTGACCGCTGCACTGACCCGGTTTCCCAGTCAGCCCCCTGAGCAGTGAGCCTCCCTGTCAAGCAAGGCCCAGTCCTCCTTGAACACAGCGACGGTGAGGGGTGCACTCTCTGGCCCGGGTGGTCCAGCTGGCACTCCCGGTAGACCAGCCCAGCCCCTCTACTTCAGAGCAGAGCTGCCCCCCTCCCCCAGGCTTTTCCTTCCCTCTTCTCCCCTCACCCCCTTTTGTTATGCCCTCCCTCGACACAAACTCGGCCTTAAAAGAATCCTTGAGCTGCCTCTGCGGCTCTGGATCTGTTGCTGGCTTCATTCCCTTTCTCCTCCAGGCCTCCTCCTCCATCAGCGGGGTTACTCTCTAGTCATTTTGACTTCTGGCTCCCTCCCTCTTTCTCCCCACCCTGGCCGGCGCTGCCTCCGCACTGTCGCTATCTTTACGCCTGTTCTCCGTCGCCGCGCCCCTTCCTCATCGCTCCCAGAGCTCCGCGGCTCCTCACCACCTCTCCCGCTGCTCCTCCTCTCCCGCTGCTACTCACCTGCTCCTCTTTACCCATTCCACCTCCTCTCCCGCTGCTCCTCACCCGCTCCACCTCCTCTCCCGCTCCTCCTCACCGGCTCCACCTCCTCTCCCGCTCCTCCTCTCTTGCTGCTCCTCACCCGCTCTTCCTCACCGCTGCCGACCTGACCCGCGCGCCTGCTTCTCACAGCCTCTGTGGACCCGCCACCATGGCCGACATCAAGACGGGCATTTTCGCTAAGAACGTCCAGAAACGACTCAACCGTGCACAGGAAAAGGTCAGAAGCGGGCGGCGTTGCAGGTGGCGGGACACGACGGCGAGGGCCTAGAGGGCCAGGGGAGCAGAGGAGGCCTGACGTTAGCGGTGCAGGGCCGGGCCGGGGTCGCAGGGACGCCCTGCCCTCTGTTGCGGCGACTGCAGCCAGGCGGGTACCCGGCGCTGCGAGCGGAAGCAGCCCGGGAGGCGGGACGCCAGCGGAGCATGGACCGGTCCCCGGAGGCTTGGGGTCTGCCGAGGCTACACCTCCCTCGCCCCCCGTGCAGCTGGCATCTCTGCCGGTTCTCAGGGCTGGCGCAGGGCAGGAGCAGTCGCAGGTGCGGCATGTCGCCTGCTGCCCCTGAGCTGAGTGCATCTGCCTCCCAGCGCCTATTCCCTGCTTGCTTGCAGGGATCTGGTAGGGAGGCGCCGGGCAGCTTCGGGCGGGAGATTGCGGCAGTGGTTCTTCCTCTGGGGGGATTTACTGGCTATGTGAGTGCAGCAGAAACAGTTTAGCACTGAAGATAACCCCCAGATTTCTGTTTTGATCAATGGTCTGATAGCGAAAAGTAGCGGCTGTAATACAACGCTGTGCAGTGAATCCTGGAGTTCTAAACAGATATCTATACACACACTTTTTTTTTTTGTCTTTTTTTGGTCTCTGTGTGTGTGTGCTCCCTTTTGACGCCAATGTCCTTCTCTGGAAGGTCAAAAGTAAATATGACCTGAACCTTGCATTTCTTTTCTGCACATTTTTCTACAAAGGAGTTTTATTGCATTAAAAAAATTGGTATTGCACGGGTTGGATTCCCTGTTGTTTTACAAGAACCTCAGTCAGTTGGTTACAGTGATTTATTTTTCTCATCCAGAGATGTGCACAAATGGATCCCAGGTCCATACCGCACAGCCCTGAGCAGTTGGAGAGATGTTGTACTGGGTACGGGGCTGGCCTGGCTACCCAGAGACTGCATGTCATGAAGACCTTCCTGGCACTGAGGTCCTCATTTGTGTTCTGAGTAAAGGACATTCTGCTCATAAGGTAGTTGGGGCGCTGTACTTGAAAAAGGACACCAACTAGTGAGCTTCATGGTTTGTATCAGTCCAACTGTGTTTTCTCTTTTTCGTGGCAGGATTTTCCATCCCTGTGATACTGGGTTTTACTGGTACTTCCCTGTTTTACTGGAAATCAGATTTGCCAACGCTCACTAGGACAGTGCATTTTCCTTTTCAGCCCCTGGCTGAGGCTGCCCCCGACTCTGCTGACCTAGAAGTGGAGCCGAGCTGGGCGCCAGCCCCTTTGCTTGTCTGCAAGCTGAAAGACTGGGTGGCTACTTCTAGTCCCTACCTTCACATGGGACATTCTCAATGCAGTAAGAGGATTGTATTTCTTTTAATATCTACCCAAGCTCATCCTAAACTAACATGATCCTCTCCCAGTGCTTCTTCAGCAGCTGAATTAGCAAGGCTTCCTGCCCCATTCCAGTCCCAGATTTCACTTGTCCAGAAAGTAGCCAGGATCTAGGCCAGGTTTTGTCATCATTTTTTCATACTTCATTTTACCCACTTGTAGGTATTCTCCTCCTCCCTCCAAGTAATTACTTGACTCTTTGGTCTGAAACTTTTCATTGAATCCACTTTCCATCTGTGAAGGAATTTAATGATACAATCTGCTTTTCACATATTATTTCTTAATCTAGGTCACCAGCTGTTAATGTGCCAAAAATCAGTGAAAAGAAAATGTAATCTGTCTTACACAGCATTCAAATCCTTATGAATTGTTGAGAACTCACTTTTTCATTATTAAGGCCAAGCATGTATTATGATTGCAGCTGTGGATGGTGCTCACTCTTTTATAGGAGCAGGGATAGGGTCTAAGGGAGCCTTGCACACAGCTTCAAGTGTCTTATTTCCTTTCCTGGAGAAAGTTGCTGGTGAAAAATGCCTGTTGCACTTCATTTAGGAGGTTAAGACACCCAAGAGGCTGAGTGGTTCTGCCTCTGGACAACTTCTGAGCCCTTCCCAAGCCGGTGCAACACAAGGAGAAAGGGCATGTGGGAATCCAGGTAATGTAGTCCAGACAAGCCCAAAGGAAGCTACTCGGAGAATGGAAAGCACAGTGTGCTGTAGGCTTCATTAGCCATCACCCCCCAGGGATTCCTTTTTGCATTTTTGGTCTCTTCCTTTTCTCCAACGCATAGACACTCCTTCACAATAACTATATGCCACATATGTTCTTGAAAATCTTTGTCCTTGTTTTTACAACCAAATTTTCTAAAAAGAGAGTCCACTCCCTTGACTTTCTCATTATCTGTGCTCCATTTAACAGCTTGCATGATTTTAGCTTCAAATGCAGGAGTGAAACTACTCTGAGAGGTGACATATGACTTTCTATGAATTTAAAATACATTTTTCTCTTATTGAAAGTCCATAAAGCTTCATTGGAGACAGAATTAAATATATATATAAGCTAAAAAAAAAAGCCCTTTCAACAAATTAGGTCATTCATAATTCTGCCACCCAGAGATTTCACTATTATTTGATATGGATCCTAGTAGATCTTTTTCCATATATATTTATACAACTAAAATATAGCCTTATACTACAGTAGTTCCTCCTTATCCTCGGTTTTGCTTTCCATGGTTTCGGTTACCCATGGTCTGAAAATATTAAATGGGAAAGTCCAGAAATAATTTATAAATTTTATATTGGATGCCATTCTAGGTATCATGATGAAATCTCATCTTTCTGCTCTGTCTCACCGTGATGTGAATCATTCCTTTGTCTAGCATTTCCACCTGTATACATGGTATCGCAGTGTTTGTTTTCAAGTAACCCTTATCATATGAAAGTCAGTAGTAGTTTAATACTAGGTCAATGCCTACATCATTCACCGTACTTCCTCTCATCTTGTAGGCTTTGCATTATCTCACATCATCACAAAAAGAGGAAGGGTAAGTACAGTACCATAAGATATTTTGAGAGAGATCACATCCACATAACTTTTATTACAGTATATTATAATTTCTCTATTTTAGTATTAGTTATTGTTGTTTATCTCTTACTGTGCCTTACTTATAAGTTAAAATTTATCATTGATATGTATGTATGGAAAAACATAGTGTATATAGGGTTTGGTACTATCTAGTTTCAGATATCCATTGGGGGTCTTGGGATGTATCCCCCATGCATATAAGGGGAATGCTATATATGGTTTTGTAATGTTTATTTAATTTAATAATTATGAACATTCTTCAATACATGTTTTTTTAAAATCAGCTTTTTAAGTGACTTAATAGTATTGGAATGTATGGATTTTAATGAATCCCCTATATTTTGGACATGCTGTTTTCAGTGTTCCTGTTTATAAATACAAATCAGTGAGAAAGCTTGCAGGGAAAATGTTCCCACACACCCTTAAGTATTTCCTTAAATAAACTCCTAGAAGAATTACTTTATATTCTTACCAGCAGTCAATGAGACACTTGCCAATACTGGATAATCATTTAAAACAATCTTTAGCTATGTCATTAGAAAAAATTAGGTTCTACTTATTTTATTTGTTTGAATTTTAGAAACTGAACATTATTTTTTGCATTCCTACATTATTCATTTGCTCTGTTTATATTTTTGCCCATTTTGTGTAGTACTTTCTTGTTATTTCTAAGGGCAAAACCATATCTTTCCAAAAGTCACAAATATTCTTTCTTCCTTCTCTATCTACTGTTTAATTTTTTGATGATTTTTTCTAATATAGAGATGTTTATGTTTGATGTATATTTGTTTAAATCTATTGAATAATTCTGCCTGGATACCTTTAGGTGCAGAATTAGTCAGAATCCTGCTGCTTGTAAGTATCAGAAAATTCAATTCAAACTGGTGTAAGGAAAAAAGGGAATGTAATTGATAAAAACAAAAATGTGATTTTGCACATGTAAATTTAAATGAGAATTTAATATATGAATATATATTTATACTTTAAGCTATATACATATGTTCTTATACATACATACCAATAAAAATACATGCCTGTGTATTATATACACTGATATATTAACTTATTTGATTCTATGAGGGAAGTACTATTACCATCTCATTTTATAGATGAGGAAGAGATTAAGTAACATGCCCAAGGTCACATAGTAAGTAGTAAAGCCAAAGTTTGAACCCATGTAGTCCAATGCTTGGGTTCCATTATACAGTGCTGCCTCTTATAACTGTGAAAAGGACAAGGACAGACAAACTTCAGGCCTGCATGGAACCAGGGCCTCAGCCACAGATATCAGGGCTCAAGGGCTCTCTCCCATCTCTCATCTCTGCTGTTTATCCTTCCAGCCCCATTCTTAGGCAAAAAATTCTCTCTTGATGGCAGGATGGTTGCCAGCAGTTCTAAGTAAGAGAATGTCTATACAGGGAGCTCCTCAGTATAGCCCTTATTGGCTCAAATTGGGCCTTGTGACTATCAGTGGAAGAAAAGAAACTCTCTGGACAAGGGCCAGGACCATGGGTTGCATTGGGCTTGAGTCACAAGCTACTACTGAAGCGGGGATGGAAAAATTCCTTCTGGACCATATGGACTGATGGTAGAGGGGGAAGGAAAGTCAGGATACAGATTATATTGCACTAGCAAGATAAAAGGTGTCACTGACACATACTTAAAAAACTTTCCCTCATGTTTATGTAAGTAATCACATATTTAATAATTCATAGGTTAATATTAAAAAAAATTCCCCATTAGATTAATATATGCACAGTTTAAAAAACAATTAAATATTATGAAGAGACTGTGCAAGATAGCAGTTCCCTGTTCTTCTCCTAAATCTCCAGTCTTTTTTTGTGGAGGCAGCTAATACTAACCATAAAATTTCTCAAAAATATGCACCCATAACTGCTTCTTGATCTATCCTTTCATGTTTGGTAATGAGAGATGAAGATTTAGCTCTCTTAATTTCATCCCTCTAATTCCATATCCTTTAATCATGTATGATAGCAAAAAGTGTTGGTTGGTTAAGATTATATTTTTTA